CCAGACATTGACTCAGAAGCCAAGAAAATACGCTCAAGCCAGAGGCGTAACAACCGTATCGCGTCACCAGAAACACTTTTGCAGATACGACGGCGTTTGAGGGCTGCGAAGGCGTACGATACCTGCGAAATCTTGCACGTGATCGGGCTGCTTGTTGCGCACATGTTGTGCCCCCACAAGCAACGGTTTTCGAAGCACTGGGCGATGGCGTGTGACGGAGCTTTACCTGCTGGTACCTTTGGCAAATATATGCCACGCAACCGATGTACAGCTATCCTACGTGATCTACACTTCACAAACAACAATGCACCCCGCACTCGAGACAAACTGTGGAAACTGCGTCCGGTCGTCGATATCCTGCAGCAGCGCTTCCAATCTGGCTGGACATTGCCGGCAGTGTTTTCGTTCGATGAAGGTGTGTTACCAGCAACGTCTCGGCGGAACACTACGCGGATGTTTATGTCAGATAAACCTCATCGGTACGGTACCAAACTTTTTATGGTTTGCGACTCAAAGACAGCTTACTGCCACAGGCGCGTTAGTATCCTTTTTTCAAAGTCGTAACCTCTGACATCTCTAGCAATTCTGAAAAGCTAACGTCGTAACTTACTGGTTTAGGTTTGAGGTCTATGTTGGAGCCCGTGAATCAACAGACGGAGAATCCACCACTATCGACAACAAGACGGGTGCGGCTGCCGTCATTCGCAACATGAAAATTTTACTTGGCGACTGCTCTAGTGGATTTCGAATGGTCGTTGTCGATCGGTATTATTCGTCCGTAGCGCTGGCTTTACAGCTCCTCGGTATGTCTATCTACGTCGTCGGAACTATCATGACGAACCGCATTGGATTTGACCGTCAAGTCGTTGAAGGCCGTCGGACGCGGCCTCGTGGAGTTGAGAGAGGAGCCTTTACGTTCTCGCGCTGCGAGGCAGCACCTACAATGGTTGCGTGCCACTGGTGGGATAGAAAGCCAGTCCATTATTTGGCCACGGGTGCATCGATGGAGGAGGATACGATTCAGCGCAATGTGAAACAAATTGGGGCGATTACTGTGAAGTGTCCCAAGCTAGTGACCGATTATCAGCGGTGGATGGGCGGAGTTGATATTCATGATCAACTCCGCCTGCAGTCGCTCTCAGTTCAAATGGCTTATCGGTTTCGAAAGTACTACAAGTCCTTATTTTTAGGCTTCCTAGATCTGGCGATCGTGAATGCTTTTATCACACACAAGGAGGTATGCCCGGCCGCGAGAATTGCGCCAATGTCTCGTGCTGCGTAAATGGCTGTCCTCCACAACCAGCTCCTGCAGTTAAAACCCGAAGATTTCGACTTGGATCCTATAGCAACTCCACAGTCATCCGCTCCCTCCAGGCGAAAACGTCGTTGCCTCCCACAGCACATCTACAAACAGTACGATGACTGGGTCATTGTGTCCGGCGTTCGAAAGCGTAGACAGCGTGCGTGTAAGGTATGCGCACTTCTTCGCAGTGAAAGAAAAAAATCTTTCCAGACGACATTCTACTGTGAAGACTGCTCCAGCGGCGAGGCCAAATTTTTCCTCTGCCCGAAAGCTCGGCTTGAGTACAATGGAATCGCGAAAACATGCTTCCAGATTTGGCATGAAGACTTTGAGTGTGGAAAATCATTTCCTGAGTCACTTGGGAAACGAGTTGTGTTTCGACGTCCGGCCAAGTTTGGAGCGCGCAAGAAAACACGCCGTGAGTTGTTGCGGGAAGAGGAGGACGATGCTGATGACGAGGGCGAAACTGCGTATGTAGCTAACGTTTGAAAACGCCATAAAACGGGGGTTTGATTGTAGTATCTCGAGTGTCGTTGTTTTATGTAATTGATTTTGTACGTGGGTAGTACATTTCTTGAATCAGGCTTTAGTAGAAGTCGTAAGTTGAGACTTCTCTATGCGTTGGCGTTTAGAAGAGGTCGTAAGTATACGACATGTGAAGACCAAACACTTCAAAACTTTATTCACCATCGCCGATGTATCCTACGGCAAAAGGGGCGCCCCTAAACAATAATGCTGTTATTAGGACGTCGTAAGTTACGACGTAATGTTTGCACGTTCAGAGACTCCATTTGCGGTAACAGAGGGGTTAAACAATATTTGGCTTGAAAAAATGAAAAAGTAAGTTAGGCCCATCTACCGATAAGAGCCATCAAAGCAGCTCCCATCCATAGACAACCATAGAGCGTGAAACGCTGAGAAGGACTTCTTGACAAAATCTTCTCGTTGGTGGTCATGTTGTACGTCAGGAGCTCTACAAGTCCTGTGTACAGTAAAATGCCGCCTGCCACACAGTCGAATACTCCTTGTACCCACAACGCCGTCGTCGACTCACTCGAGTACGAGTTACGAATACCAATACCTATGACTTGTCCAATCGGTGTGGTGATAGCGAACGCAGCGTTTATAAGAAATACTTTCTTGCGATTCGTCATGGATCCAAGAGCCGCACTACTGATCGCAATACCCTCGAAGAATTGATGAAAGCAAAGAGCAGTAAGCAGCGTCTTGAATTCGGTTCCAGAGGTAACACCAAGATCAATCCCGACGATTACGGAGTGAAAGATAACTCCTGCTTCGAAGATAATAGTGGCGATTGTGTTACGGATGTTCGGGTCTTGTGCTTTCGCTGGGTTCGGACTATCACAGGGCTGCAAAGAGTGAAAATTCACACTTCGAGGACTAGCCAGATCCAAGGCGTTTTCGTCGTCATGATCTCGACTATGTTCGTTATTGTGGCCATGACTGTGACTATGAGTGTGGCCATGTAGAGCGGATCCTTTCTCTCCAAAAAACACGACGCTTTCACACTCGATCAAATGTAACAGTACCAATGTGGCAAGTACAATAGCCAAGCCCAGATATCCATAGTCTTCCGCTATTGGCCCGAGCGCTTCGTCACTGAGTTTCTCAATTCCTTCGTTGATCATGTGGATCAATCCTGTTGAGAGCACCACGCCAAAGGAAAACGCTCGAATTGCCTCCATTCCGACCGGATTCGTGCTGTTTTGGAGAATTTTCTGCGAGATAAATGGCACTAACGTCCCAGCTATGGAGACAGCGAGGATGATGAAGATAGCACCGATGCGAAGTCCCTTGTCTTCCATCCTGCCAGAGCAAGTCTTAGGTCTTGTGTTTGAAGGATTTAATCAGTCTGAGTGGACAGAAAAGTGTTGTGCTCTTGACATCAGAGCGATAGGGTTTCCAGTGTGCGAAGTGCGGGGACAATAACTCCAGAGAAGGAGGACTTGATCGCACACTGGCGCTCGCCACGAGCACTCGATAGTAACGTCCCGACTTCATTTGCCGCAAACTTCCGTTTGATTGCAGCGCCAGCAGATTTATGAAACTTCTTCCGTGTGACTTCGACGTTGATCACTGCTCAGAGTGGGTACGCCACTGTTGGTAAGGCCCATTTCTAGTATCTGAAATCGATACTTGTACACAGTACTCTAGGTCAACCGTTTCATTGATTCGCCGTCGGATAAATTGTCATTTATGCTACCACTTGTCCGACGGCGGCTGACATCACAGGCAAAATTCTACTATAAAGCTCAGTGCTCATTGGATATGTATTTACAAGCGTACTACACGTAGTAAAATTTGGGGGTGCCATAAAACCAAAAAGAGCGACAGTGATGTGGCCCGAGCGAGAAATGACTGAAGAAGACATTGCATGTTACGTAAAGACGTTGCAATACATTGTTGAGTTGGTTGGTTAGCGGGGGTCGATTTACATGTAGAACAAAACCCTGCTACGTAGAAAGCGCAAGTTTTTGGCGCGTGAAGATAAGGTTAAAGTATGACTGTTGATTGGGCAGAAATACTTCAGCTTGATCGAAAACATTCAGTGAAGTATTAATACCTTTGTTGTCCGATTTCAGTCAGTCCTCGGTATTTATATCCACTCGATCACAGACCCTCAAACATCCAAGTGACAGTAAAAAAAATAACGTGAATTGTCCGCAGTGCTGCAGCTCCGAGTAGAACGTGGGGCTTTTACATTTACTTTCCCAGGGGTATGAAAATTGAAAATGATTGATATCAGATTCGACCAAAACTAATAATTCAGCTATTATAATACATTGTAACCACTTTTTAAAGGGGCTTTCGTGGTCATAGGGTCAACCGAGGTAGGCTATTTTTCATCTAAAAAACAGCTAATCAGCTCTAAAAGGACAATACAAATAAGTTTTTGCCGCAATTGCAGTAGTACTGCTAAGGGAATATAAAACAATGCCCTAAAAAGTGCACAAAAAGATGGTCTCCGAAACGAAGCAGTGTTAAGCTGCAGAATGGACAATTCGCGTCTGGCGCAGCAGCTAAGTAATGTCGTTTGTCAAATTGTCATACGTGGACCACACAATTGGACCTTGACTCCCGCTCGGACTTCCATGTAGCAATAGCTACAAAAACTACAGTGCCTACGGTAATTAGTCTGTGTGAATAAATAATCACAGTTTAAAATTAGTCTCACCGTTCGAATGTGAGACTAATTACCGTGAGCAAGAAAATGTCGTGTTCAAAATTAGTCTGAGTTCATAATTAGTATCACCTTATTTTGGGCATTCGAATTGGCGCAGTGGAAAAGACTGGCCCGGTTTACACTCCTGGCTAAGTTCGAGTCCCTCCGCAGCAACGGACGGTGCTCGCGTTTTACTGGTGATGCAATAACAGGTCATTTAATAAAAGTGGGTTTCCCACTTACCCTCAACGCGGCACACTACGAAGCAGCGGGTTATGTTTTTTAAGGATATGAATTATACTTTTAATAGAATAATAGCTATGCAGTTTCCTTAAGCTTATTTGAAGAGTATTTGATATTTTATAATTGGAAATGTTATTTTTATGTGACTGCGTCTCTTGGAGGCTAATGTGGTCTATTCTCATTCCCGAAATTCTTCCAACACACCAACGCCTTTTGGAGGCTAATGTGGTATATTCTCATTCCAGAAATTCTTCCAACACACCAACGCCTCTTCTCCCTCTAAGAACTGTCTTTTAATGAGCTCCAACTCAGCTCAACTTTCCCCGTGTGGTGGCTGTGGTGACCTCGTTGGTCATATTCACGTCTGCCCAATCTGCTCTGTTCATATGCACCCATTTAGTGGGAAGCCTGTCGGACAAGAGGGCTTTGGACAGCATGTTCTCTGTCCAGACTGTGATTCAGGCAAACCTCAAGCTATATCAGCTCCTCCTATCATAAAAGCTTTCGCGCTACAGGGAGCAAAAGATTCGATCTCTTCGAAGGATGATGCCAACGATGACGACTCAGAAGAGAGCTCTGAAGACGACATAATCTCTATTTCCAATTTGGTCGTGACTGAGTTGCCAACGTCAACATCATCTCGAGCGTCACAACAGGTTACCACCATCCAGCATCGCCGTCGTGTCATCTCCTGGATGTAAGAATATGAAAAAGCAAAGTCAGGAAAACTTAAGAATCCAGAAAAGCATTTTTTCTGTCCCTGGCTGCTAAAGCAGTACGCCAAGTCAACTCTCAACGGGACAAGAATAATGTGAACTACGCTCGGGAAGCCATGATTCGATGCGGACTCTCGCTGGATGTTGATGGTGTATGGAGAACTGAACAGCTATTCAGCCACCTTCAAGTAATCATCAAGAAGTTCCCAGATCAATTTGCTGGACAAGCGGTTCCATTGGATATGGCAAACAAACACACAAAAAAAAGAATAACCAGACCAGCTTCTCAACAATCGTAAACTAGTGTGACTAATTAGGGTGAGACATTAATTAGTCTAAGTGTGACTAATTCTACCACACCTTAAATAGTCAGAGTGCATAATTAACCACACTCATACTAATTTAGGTGAGCAGAGTCCGCAGCACCTCACATAAATTAGTATGAGTGAGACTAAATACCGTAGCTACTGTACTTAGGTAAATTCTAGTCTGGAATTCAGCTCATAGGGTGGTACAAAGACCCGCAAAGAAAATTAGTATTATATTTAAAAACCGCTCACTCCTAATTAGTCGTGGAACGACGTTTTACCGAGCTCAACTTTTTCATTGACCTCATGCGTTTTTTAATTTACTTTGAAAAAGTTTGGTGTAGAATGCTCCTCTTAAATACCGTAGCGCAAATCATCTCGTCGAGATCTATCAGAATCTACAATCGTTCTCCAATTTGACGCAGAAAACGAAAGCTTTTATTTAAACCTGTAGAGTGATTATTGCTGGTGCACGATTATTTAGGTACAAATATTACCAATCTTACAAATAAAGAGGGATTTTAGAAGGAAAAAGCAGCTACTTAGTATTGGTTTGTTTCGTGATTAATATATTATTGTGCGTTGTATCCGAATTTTTCACGATCGTCTGAGTGACATGAACGGCCAATCCGGCGGCCAATGTCACTGCCTGTCGTACAGTACGAAATAAACCATTTAGTCATTACTCCACTTCCAACCATTCGCCATGACCGCATCGACGCCGCAGCGATCACCGCTCTGGTGCATCTCCTTACTCCGCCCTCAGTAGTGCGCAACTAGCAGCAACAAGGTAGCGCTCCTCCTCAACCAGATTAGTCCGGAGCGCGTGAAGAAATGCCTGCAGTACTACATGGCTTGGGGGCTGTCCACCTGTGCTTCTTCCAGCGGCTTTAGAGGGACAATTCGATGGATCCACGGCTCTATCTGAAGTAGTGCCTGAGCGCGGAGATCTCGTGGATTCAGCTGCACGACTCACAGACCCAGCAGCATCAGCAAGACGACGCGTTCCAGCTGGACGCCGAGCATTTCAGGCAGGACAGTGCGATGACGCAGAAGCGCGGTCAGGACAGCGACATGGCTCAGCAACTCCAGCAGCACTACTCCATGGTCCAGTAGCCTCAATGTATAGACGTGATGACGCAGTAGGACAAGCTGGGCGAGACAAAGATGGACTAATGCCCCTGTCAGGACAAAATGATATTGCAACAGCAGATCCCGTTGTTGCGTCTTTGGTGAAGTGCTTTCTTAGAAATGAGAGATGGGATCCGACAAGGAGTCATCATCTCGGATTAGTGTCAACGCCCGGTGGTTAGGGTGGATCAGGATTGCTCGACGTGGCTCCGTACTGCTCAAAGTGGATTAGGCAGAGGTTAAGTGGATCGAAGGCCGAGACTATCACGCTGAACCACCAGATGAGTTGGGTGATGCGGGGCGAACACGTTTATTAGTAGTCCAAGGAGGAGGAACCCGGATACGTATCCTAAATGGGTCGACGATGGATCTGGGGGATGATAGTGGCTAAGCGAATGAAGACCGGCAAGAGGAACATGGTTGGTGGCAGTACCGTGGAGATTGACCAAAGGGAAACTCGGATCCACTGTCACCCAATTATACCGAGGGACATGGGATATACCATGTGCGGGTGGATCAAGTGCGAATCCTATGGAGGAGGCTGTGGACGCCATCCGGAGGTGGATCTGGTATTAACAACAAAAGGAAAGGCAAGATCCACTGCTATATGTCCCAGATCCCACTTCCCAAGTCTGGATCCAAGGGATTGAGGATCCCACACCGAGTGACCTGGATCCATGGTACGGCGATGGTAGAATCAACGGATCTCGAGCTTTCGTGGAGCGATGGAGACCGAAGACATTCGTAATGTGATGTTGGATGATTGGAGGGCTTAGATCCACGATAAGTCTACACTTGCAGTAAGGTGAATCAAATTGGCTTGGATCCTGGACAGTGTACCCATTATATGACGACCTCACTATGATTATGCCATGGATCCGGTGGATGTGATGCTGATACAGCTGGCGTGATGGGCCAAGGAGAGAAAGGGCATGCAACCGAGCCTAATAGGGGATTTAGCAGGTAAAAGACATACAAGGTAGAAATCCAGGCAGGTATAGGCTTAACAACGAATCAGACTTCAATTTGCACAGTATCACGCAAGTGCTTTCCTGCCCTCTAGAATCGGAACTTCATTGGATGTACGAGCTTGATGAAGGTTAGGAATTGCAAATCTAGTGTTGGTAGTGATAACAGTACAATATATTGGCCAGATCAAACCACCTAATGAGCTTTCCTTTACACGTGCAGATCCGAAAGGATAACCGAAGTTACTACTTGACCGGGTATACCAAAGAGACTCT